ATAGACCAGGTCTAACAAAGCAGGCAGCCCTCACAGGTGGCTTTCTGTGTCCCATAAATAGTGGTCCACTAGCACGTTTCTTCTTTTCCTGAGTCCAGGGCTGGTCGTTTTACAGAACTGTCCAAAGGAATTACAGTGCATTGTTAACAAGGTATTTGGAAAATCAGAGTAACCAACTCTCCATCCAGTCTTCAAGGGGAAAGATACGTCCGCTTCAAGGGGGCAAGAGAGACAACTACCCCACGTCTTCAGAGGTGTGCTCCTGTACCCTCATTTTCTTCTGGCACAACCACCTTTAGGTCACAGCAAAAGCTGCTACACAGGCCAAGTTGAGCCTTTTCTTGTTTACAGGCAAAAAGGGCGATTTTCCCTGCAAATACCGGAGGGGAAGAGAGACAACAGTGGCTCCGTGCTACCCTTATGTGCTACTATGATTTCAATCAGTTTGTGCCAAACGTGGGCTTAAGACTGTACTTTTTGTTCTTTCTGGAACTGCTTGGTAAAATAGGGCAGACAGCATGTAAACAGTTCCTGAGGGTTGGAAAAATAATAGTTTAACGGACTGCTTCGGCACATCTTCACAGCTTCATTGTTATATCCATCCCCGCACACGTACGCAAGGAGCCACTGCTTTGATGCTGCTCTTTTTCTCCAGGCAGTCTGCTCGCGTTGGTTTATTTCCTTCCACCTTGGCTGCTGACACAAAGACACAGGAAGCAGTTTGGCCATGTTCCGGCAGTTGACATGATGTCCTCCTGTTTAATGGCTCCTATTAAAAATGTACGTACAACAATCTGCCGGTTCGCCTTCAGTTAGGCAAGCTTTTTCCCATACAATTGAAATAAAAAGTTGCTCACTGGAGACACTTCCAAAAAGGAAAAATAAAGGTCAGCAGACATGCCAAAAATAAAGTCCAGAGCAAGCAGAGGTTTCACTTCTCCTCTCATCCTTTTTGTTAAAAGCTGCATAAAATAGCATCCCAGAAGGATTTTGAGGGTACTTCATGGTCACTGGGGACTTAAACCCTCTTTTTAAAGCATTAACAAGAGCTCCAAGATTTTAGTTGAAGTTAAGTGAGCGTATACTTTAAAACATACTGAGCTCTGGGATACCCATATAGCTGGGCTTTTGGGGGAGGTGACAAGTACAAGCAAGTGACACTGAGAGGCTTCTTCATTCATGTTCCGCTGAGAAAGTTCTTGGTTTAGTGATGTGCACTTCGCTGCTGCCGTTCCCGTTGGTGGTTGTAGTGATGATGTACTGGGTGGTTTGCTGCTGACTGCTTGTTTGTGATTCCAAGGTATCCGTGTGGGCTGGTGGCTGGGAAACACCAACCTGTACCTCGCTGGAGAGCGACGAGTTTTGTTTGACATCCAGATCAGGCTGTCCTTCAGATATTACATAGTGAGTCTGCATGAGGAATATAAAAAAAAAAAAGTAATAATAATTCTTCCATCTTCTTCACCTTTCCTGTTCTAATAGTCTATAACTTTCCTATTGCTATGCTGGAAGACATTTTGGTAGGAACAAGGAAATTGGAAATTAAGTTGTATTTAATTTAAAATGTATTTGAGAGCCACATAATCCTTGTCCTTTGAAGTACATTGGACTACTTTGCATTTAGTCAAGTCACGAATAGTTAAACTAATTACACAATTAATGCATCACTACAAGTTAAAATAGCAGGGTTTAGTACAACTATTCTGAAAGTTTTTTCCATTTTCCACATGTTCTAGCAGAAGTTGCATTTCCAGCATCCAATTTCCATGCAGTACAACAGCTGGACTGCTCACTAGGCAAGACAGCAGCAATTCTTTGCTAGCTTTCTGTTATCCACAGGATTACAAAATGAGAAACGTTCCCAAAAACTGTTCTGAAATTCAGTTTAATGGATGCAGCTTAAATATTTTTAAGACTATCAATACCACTAAGTCACACCTTGCCCTGCAAATGTGGCAAAGTGAATGCTTTAAACTTGGAGTCCTACATGCAGGGGGCCAGACAGTGGGGGGCCTTGTAAATGGCCAGATGCAGAAAACTCTTTGCAATCACCACATAAGGAGTACGATGCTCGTTCAAGAAAAAAAAAAAACACCATCTTTTCCTTGAAGCTCATGAGATTATTTCCTGCCTTCTGTAATCCAAAGCTTATGACATTACTAGGTTTGAATGGTAGCACTTTTCTCCTTAGCTCTTGACACAACACATCGTATCATTTCTTAGCCATTTTGCTTACAGATTCTGCCCAGCAGGGAACTCACTACAGTTGATACAGAAAGCCAGTGCCCAGCCTGGACCGCTTCAGGTACAGCACTGTTCTCTACTCTCTGTGCCCCAGTCATCACTTTGGCACTCGTTTAACCTTCGAACTGAAGGTTTTAAGCCTGATAACATCATTCTGGATATAAAAAAGCCATGATTGTTTTTCTTACCTGAGTAACTGCTTTCACTTGCCCTGTGTTGACAGTGGTGACCGGTGTACCCACAGCGGTCTCTGTGATCACGTACTGGCCTTGTGGAATGGTCATCATCTGGATCTCAGATGCTGATAAATAGAAATTGAAGAATCAAGACCTTCAGTCAAACTCAAAGACCACTTTGAAAGATCATGTCTTATGTCAGTAAGATTTCGAGCCTGAAACAGAGGTTGTCGAATAGACATTCAGATACTGTAAAGCCCTGTAAAACTCTACAGGCCTCAGAGTTATGCCAGCTAACGTCAGCTGCAGATGTGGCAATTCAGGCCTAGACAATGCATCCTGTTCTCGCCCAAGAAATCAGGGAATTACCATCCAGAGCTGCACAGACACAAGAAATCATTTCATGTCACCCTCATCTTCTGTGTGATTCTTTCAAGCATTCACCCAAATTTGAACAAGCTGCTATCTAACGCATGGATTCTTGCCGAATCCAAGTTTTTCAGAATAAAGGAGTCCAGTCTGCCTGCCCAAACCACGTATCGGATAACTACAGACCTACAGCAGAAAAGCTAGTACAACAATTTTAATTTGTCTAAACCCACTTTTCTTACATCTCTATGAATATTTATCACAAAGCTTAGTGAGCTCTGAAAATACTATCCCATTTGGTAGCTGGAGAAACCGAGAACATACTAGGCCCCCACACTAGCCAGACTTCCCAGTGAGAGCTACTGCCGACACTTACAGTAGCTCCGAAATGAGTTCCATGTGCTGGGAAGATACGTGTGCTGAACTGAGGACCCTTGCTGCTGCTGGAGGGCTTGGTTTGGTGTAGATGTAGTTGTCTGCATCTGCAACCTAGGAAAAAAAAAAAAAACCAACAAAAAAACCAAACACATACATGCAAGTGTTCTTAGTGTATTAAGGACCGCAGACCTTTGTACTGTTACAAACATATCCTTCTTATTAAGGGAGAACACAGGGGTGGGCAGTGGGCTCTATAGCACTTCAAGCACAAGAACTGCAAAGCTCTCCTCCCTCTCCCCCAACTTGCTTCACTCTATGGTTAGTAAGCAGAGATCAGGAAATTGGAATAGAGATGTTGCTTCCCAAAGGTTACATAGCAAGTCTGTGGCAGAGAGCCGAGACTAGAGGCTAAATGCTACCCAACAGCATGAAGAGCTGAACTTCAAATATTTGAGGAATGCCAGTTTTCATTTGTATCTTTCAGTTGGCCAAGTTTATTTAAGCTGCAAATTTGTCTGTTCCCAACCATTTATCTCTACTGTGTACACACTGTTAGGAAAAAAACCCCAACAAACCACACAACAAAAAAACCCAAATAAAACCACAGCACAACACCCCCATACACCCTAGGAACATCTGGGAAGTACTTGATGATCTGAGAGATGTTCATGTGAGAGTCATTTTGTGTGTGGTCCTTTAAATGACATGGAAAAGACTATCTACTGCATCAGCACATGCAACATGCCAGCTGAGCAGACTGGTAAGGAGAATATTGCCTGCAAGAGAAGAGTGAAATACCTGCGATGATGACTGAGTTGCTGGCGATGGCTCTGTGACCTGGATGTGCTGCACCTGGATAGCATGCTGGGTGTATGTCTGGGGGTCATGAAGCTGCCCAACGTCCACTGTGGAGTGCTGGGACTGGTGAGGTGAGGTAGCCTGGGGGAGGGGAAATAAAAAAATAAATAAAATCAAAGCAGAGGCGTATACTTCAAATTCTTTGCAGAAGCAGCCATGTAAACCTCTTCTGTGATACAAGATCTGGAACAATGAGGTACGAGCTTTAGTGAGGCCGTGGAGCACTCCTTGTTCAAGCCCGTGTTTACCCTCTTCACACGCCTGAGAGATAAAGTAGTACACCTGGCAGATGTAGAGGCACAGAGACGGTTACATCTCGGCGACAGCAAGGAAAAAAGACTTGCCTAAGGTCATACAAGCTGCCAGTGGCAGAGGCTGGACTCAAATCAAAGGGTCTGAAAACCAGGATCAGGGTCAACCTTTTTTGTAAGCCTCTTTCTATAAAATGTATACATAGGCAAGATCTCCATATCCGATAACTGTAGTTTCACAGAATCACAGAATCGTAAGGGTTGGAAGGGACCTCAGGAGATCATCTAGTCCAACCCCACATTGCTCTGTATCACATTGCTCTGTATCAAAACAAGTGCTCAGAGTCTTACCCATTAAAGGCTTTTTTTGAGCAACACCTGCTAATGATACTAACTGAAATAATTTAATTACGAGTCTCAGATCTCAACAGAATTAATATTAGCTGCAGGAATGGGTATTCATGCTCTTGCATCATTAGAACAGCCACAGTCAATATTAACTGGGGCTACTCTTTAGGCCTTTATTAACCACATTCATAACCTACTTTGTAACGAGGGGCCAGGGAGAACATGGAATTTCGGATTCCAATACAAACACATGATAGTTTCAGCTTCACCCAGTGGGTAACAGATTTGAAGGCTACAGCGATTTCTTACAGCTGCCCGAGTTATTTTCCTCAGCTCAGTTACTCTAGTTACACTCTGTTTTTATTTTCAGGAGGCTGTTGAGCCTCAGAGAGAATGAATATTCTAATAGATGGTACGAAGGGAAAAAAGAAAGTGCTTTCTGTACTTTCAAGTTTTGGCTCTGGCTCACTGAGAACAAGGAAGTACAAATTAGTCTTCTCAACTGCAAAAATGGGTCACCCACTGACCCACTTTTCCAGTTGCTGGAAAACCTTCCTAGAGCAGACTCTAGCAAAGGTGCCCAGATGGGTAGAACTAAATTAGGACTGTGTTGATACGTCTCCAGCAAGCCGATCAAGACCAGCAGGACTATTTATGCCCAGTACACGATGCTTACAATGGGAAGAACCCTAAGCATTATCTATCAATTTACCTGTAAAAAAGTCTGCACCACTTTTTGTAACTACTCCTTAACAAACTTTTGAGCACTACAACCCCAAGAAAGCACAGGCTTGATGATGGGCTTTTGACCCCCTCCACAAGTCCCCCACTAGGTTACTCACCTGGGCCACTTGAACAACCTGTAGCTGTATGTGCTGAGGCTGCTGCAAGCCAGTTGTGGCCTGAGATACAGGGATGTACTGGATTCGCTGGTAATCTCCCTGGGGGGTTCGATAGTCTGTTGTGAGGGTCTGGGATATCTCTGTCATTGCTTGTGTCAGTAGATCTGTTGTCTGAGCAGGTAGAAAGAGAGAGATACAGACCATCACGACATATTGTCTACTGGACCGAATACTTTTGCAGGGCTGTTCAACACATCACACATGTTCCTCCATCACACTGAATTACACCATTGGGCCTCAGCATTTATTTATGAGAGTTTAATGTGTACAGAGGACATGGTCATAAGCAATTACCAGGGATCATGCACTAGGATTGCTCTCTTCTGTCCAAATGGTAGTCAAGACTGTTAAGGCTAACTTAACATACAATAGTAATAAAATTATTTTAATCTTCTGACTTAACAGGTTTCTATTAGGCAACAAAAATCCTGCATTTGTAAAGAGTTGACTTAGTTTCCAAGTCAAAAAGGGCTTCTCAAACATAGTCTAGCTTTCCTCCTCACCTGCTGGAGTGTTATTTTTCTTTACATGCTTTAGCGATACAGTTGTCAAGACATTTAGCACCTAACTAACCAGCATCCTGGTTTACGAAGCCAACAGCATCCTCATTGAATCTGCCTATTTTCAAGCAAAATGGTCTTTTATCCAGTTTCAGTCTTCAAATAGGAAGTTTTAAACTGTGGTTATTAAGATTTTTGAAACCACACAGCATCCCAGCACCACTAGAAGACACAAGACCAATTTCCTAGTCTCAACTTTCACTTCCACAGCAGCTGATGTATTAACAGTGGAGAGATCAGCCACTGGAGGTTCATATCGCTCAGTTCTCCACTGCCCGAAGGATTTCAGAAAGATTTTGACTCCTCTGAACAGTTTGATCCAGTCCCCAGTCATCGTTAAACACCTCCTCTTGATCCCAAGGACTGCAAGCACCTCAAAAGAACAGTCCCAGCAAAAACCCACGAGACACATATTCCTGAGTTAATTCGGCATGTGTGAAAGTATTACGTGGAGTCAGTAGCATATGGGTCTGAATAAAAGAAAGGAATGGAGTAGGGAAAAAAAAAAAAAAAAGAGGCAAATCCTTAGAAATCCCAAAAGATAAATACATAGTTCCTGGCAGAGCAAAACTACCAACACACAGATTCAGGAACAGACGTGATCTCAAATAATGTCCTAACACATGCTTTAAAATGATGTCTGCCAAACAAATACTAAGACTACTATCATAGAATCATAGGATGTTTTGGGTTGGAAGGGACCCCTAGAGGTCATCTAGTCCAACCCCCCTGCAGGAGCAGGGACACCGCTAACTAGATCAGGTTGCTATACCGGAGGTCTTCTGTTCTGTTTGTTTCCCTCCACTGGCCTGATCTAACGTGGCTTGAATCCTTACCACAACAGTCTCTCCGGTAGTGCTGTCGGTGGTTAGAACGGCAGGAGTGGAACTGATGACTGCTGTCGCCAGCGGGGCATGTATTGTGTTAGGAAGCTGAGCAAACTCCGGGTGCTTCTTGCGAATGTGTTGTACCATCTTCGTCTACAGAGAGATACGGAAGAGCATTAGAAAGATGGTCAGCAACTCTGATTTCAGCTGGCCCGAAGCAAACAGCCCTGCAGACTGCAGCCTTTGAGTTTCCTCGGTAAGGCAGCATCAAGAGTCATACTACGGGACACTCTAGTCAGCAAGAAGGAAACAAGGATCACAAAGTTGCTGCTAATTAGAGCTATCTGATACTGAAATACTGCCCCAAACTTGACAACCCATAAGCTTTTTACCCCAACACAGCCAAATATTTTGGGGACCTTTTCCAGAGGTCACCTTTTCTGCACTTAGTGTCCCTACTCCTCTCCCTCATCACTGTCAGCAAGTGGTTTCCAAGCTTTTCCACCTGTGACAGCACTCTGGTTACATTTTCATTTCTTCTTCCAATCTCAAGCCCTCTATTTTGGGTACCTTTTTGCCATAAAACGAGCAGGCTGTGCCTGTACTGTCAGCACGCAGCACGAAACCAGAACCCTGGCTCACAGACTGACAGATGGGAGAGACTGCAGTAAAAAAGCAGCAGCAGGGAGAGATTATGAGACAACCCCTGTACCTTACTGCTGTACTGCTTGGAACAGTGAGGACAGCAGACCGGAGGGGTAGCTATGGTGCCTGTCAGCTGGGTGTGGGTGCTCAGCATGGGATCTGGCTCTCCTGGACCCGCAGGACGCAGTTTCCGGATGCTTGGAGGTAGCTCAGCACCAGGATGGTTCTTCAGGATGTGTGCTTTGCGTTTGCTGGCACTCTTGTACACCTGCAGGGTAAAGATTTGGAATGGAAATAGCATAATCCTGGTATCTGCACAGAGAACAGCTACCAGTTACCTTTATCTGGCAGGTCTGCATGTTGCTTTGAACTATGTTTTGTTAAATCCCCAAACAATTACACCATGATGCATGTATATACATACACCTTCCAGTGTTTAATCAACTGCTAAAAGCAACCCCTTTTTGTGTAGCAAGCAGGAGCCATTTGAGAACAGGTTGCATGCCACAAGAAAGCAAAGCAGGATAGGAAGGTAAGAGGAAAAATTTTTTTTGCCTGATACTTGGAAGTTCAAATGTCAGAGAAGCCACAGATCACCACAGTTGTAATTTGTCCAGTGTTAATTTGTCACGAGGGCTGATGCCTCCACTCTCGCACAAAGCATCAAATGGTTTTAATAACCTTCAGCAATCACGTATTTTTAAGCTCTTTTTAGGCACATCAACAAATGAACGTTCTGTAATATTATTTAAAGCTATTAGTTTTTTTCCACTGAAACAAAAGTAAGGAGGCATCATGGAAGAATATACTGAGGTTAAGAACAGTCAGTCAAAATATACTCCCTGGTAAATTAAAGGCCCCCATGCCTAAAAAGCAAAAGCCAGGGAGTAAGAACAGGAACCCAAAGGCAGTGCAGAAGAAGCTTCAGGCTCCACTGAACACTGGGAATTACTGGCATGTGACTAAGTAAGCAGCTTAAAATAAAAGGGGTTAAAGACTAACTTTTAGAAGTGATACAGAAACCAAAATAAATTAAGTGTTCAGGAATTATAGGTAGATAGGATATTTAGTCCTGGGTTGCAAAAAGTGATACATGACTACAGGTGGGTGACTGCTTGCTGGACTGCAGTCTAAGTTTTACTGCCTCCAAAGACAGCAGAAAAGGAGAACTGCAGTTTTCAATTAGCATTCAGCTGCCTTGGCCTCAGTGCATTTCATCTTCATTTCTTTTGGATAGCGCTGCAGAGATGTTGCTGGCAAGCACCTCAAAAAAAAAAGGCTATAAACTCTGCCAGATGTTTCTATGCAGAGACAAATTGGTTGCATACAGGTCTAGGACTGAACTACCCTCTGAGGGGTGACTTCCTTACATACCTTATCGCAGTACTGACAGAAGTAATCTCTGTTGGGTTTGATGATGGGCAACGTGAGCTCTGGCACCTCTTCTATTTTCATGTCTGGATGTCTCTTTGATAAATGATTCACCTTAGGAGAAAGAAACAAAGAGAACAAGAGAGCGTATTACAGATGGAAGCCAAGCAATCGCTGCTTCTCCTAGACACGGATAACAGCCAAACCAAAACTGTAACGATGCTAGCACCGGAAGCATTTGCTGCTGCAAGGGTTATTGTGCATTCACAGTCAGCTGCTGAAGGTAAACATGGTCTTGGTAGATCTCATTTACAGTTTTGCTAATCAAAGTAAGATGGGAAGGGGTAAAATCTCTTGCCAGAACTCTCTTGCAGCTGAGAGTGAGGTAATGTAATGTAAAGGACCTCTGCCTTTGCTAGCAGGGATAACAACCCTCATGAAATATATGCAACCATCTCTTGCTGCATAACGCCCGTTACACAGTAGCAGTTACAGGGCATGGCCAGGAGAGGTCCCTCAAGCGGGAGAAACAAAAATACAGGAAAGAGAGTCAGGAAAACTAAGGCAGTAGGGCTGAACTAGGTGATGTATTAATCTCATGTTCTGCTAAATACGTTACACATCAATCTGCATTAGTGTTGAGATATGGTAGTGACAACCAGGCACCCAACACAGGCAATGAAACATGCAAAGACACACATCTGCTGAAGAGACAAGACAGCCAGTTGTAAGAGAGAGACAAGCTCAACTCAGCTACAAAATTCTCCCAGTTTCACAGCACCCTCATGTTCCAACCATTGGAATTCCATCTTTATTCCTTACCTATTCATCAAAACTGAGTACAGAAGTTGTACGAGAAGCTAGAGCACACAGACACTCACCAACATCCCCCTCCGGCGGAAACCCATCATACAGAGTCGGCACTTGAACATGAAGCTTTCGTAGTCAGTGGAAGCTATCCGAGGCTTGAATGTTTTTGAGCGGCTGATTCGATCGGCTTTCTTGGCCTCCCTCTCTGGGTTGTGCATCCTCTGCATGTGCTCTCGCAGCTTGTCTTTCCTCTAGGAAAAGAGCAATCGAGGAAAAAAAAAAAAAACAAAACATCAGCGCCACTTACTGCCTTACTACCTGTTAAAAGGAAGAGCCACAATGCAAGTTCTTCAAAGATCAATTTGGCTTTTCCTCTCCAGTGCTGCTGTGAGATAGAGCTGTGTGCTTAGCAATGGGCAGCTCAGCAGGAGACCCCTTTGGGCTTAGGTTTATCCTTCAAACCAAGCTGAGGTTGCTCAGCTGCAAAAGCAGGAGCCAAACTAATGCTGGTTTAGGAACCTCAGTGAGAACAAACCCCTCCACCCTGGCTTTTCTTTGAATTTATCTAAAATATTAGCACCCGACTCTGTAATGGCTGGAAACTTGCATCAAATAATGCTCTTGACTGAGGAGGACCTCAAGTCCTACAACGGTACTGAACCTACTGCCCAGGTGCAATCTCTGGACACACGATCTCTAGAATGTGCTGCTTCACCCAAAAGTATCCAGTCCCTCAGTATCCCCTAAGAAATTAAGTGACAAGGAGCAGGCTGCTGCCACCCCAGTTTACCTGGATCACAGTCTGCTCCATCTATACCAGAGGGATCTGGAAAGGCATCTGGATGTCACATGCTGACAGGATGCATCCCACGGACACAGGCACCTCAGCCAGGAATATTATTAATCCATTAATATCAGCACGAACTTTCCTTAACTAAACTGATAAAAGCAATACAACCCAAGCACCTGGCAACCGAGCTGTATAATGATCCAGTTCTTAATGAGCAGGTGAAAGTTCCTTTGCTATTATGTTATTAGAAACAAGACCTCATCGATGAGACATCCTGTTACAGCAGAGCGTGTGTGGTGGATCTTGCCCCTCGTCGATCAGAAATGAATGTGGTAGCTCACACGTGACACAGAGCAGAGCATGCAACTCGCGGGCAAGTCTAGCATGTTTACACAAGTTAGCTTCTTCCACCTTAGAGAAGGTGAGCTTGTCTACCTGAAGAAGGGTAAAGAATGCTTCTCCACCTGTATCAGGAATGATCCAGCCAAGAGTCATCTTACCTTGAACTGCTTGCCACACGTGGAGCACAGGAAGTCTTTGCGGTCCGAGTGTCGCAACATATGGAGTCGCAGCTTGTCAGGACGGCAGAAAGCCTTGTCACATTCTGTACACTGGTAAATCTTTTCTGAATGGAAACTGCGTACATGTTTCTTGACCTAGAATTGCAGAGCAAAGAAAAATGGAATTTATTCAAAAGAGAAGAGTGTGTGGTAAAATAGTCTAGGAAACTCTTAGCAAAAAGTGGGAGGGAAAGAAAAAGAAAGGAAAAAGGGTCCAGAAGTTCTCTAATCTGTTTTAGCTTAAGAATTATTTTATCAGAAAAGTTGATATCTTGACAATAGTTTCTATAAAGCTCTGACATCTGTGTGATCTATCTGGATGGACAATTTGATTTCCTCTAGACTGATTCTTGAAGGCATCAGCTATTGCACACTTGAGTACTTAATGGTCAGCAAAAGTCCATGATGTACCAGTTTTACTGAATCATCCTTGAGCTAATGCGTTCATCTGAGGTTCATTATCTTTACTTCATTTATAAGAAATCTAAATGCAAGGACTAATTCCTTTCAATCAGAGTGAATGAGCCTGCAATTACAATTGGCAAAAAAACCCCAACCAAACAAGAAAACTTAGAAAAGAATTTGCATGCCAATTACTTTTGCATACTTTGGGACTATCCTTGACCTCTTCAAGCCTCTAGTGCTATTTTCTTCCCCAATAAACTAAAGAGGTTTGACATTTAAAATCCAAGCACTACTCAAGAAACGGATCTCTAATTAATTCTTTGCCACCCTCTAATACTGATCAGACATGGAACAACTTGGTATCTTTATCTGTTCCACATAAAAGTATTTAAGTAGGCAGCAATCTGTGGTGACTAGACTTAATTATTCACATAGCACCAAACAAAAAAAAAGCATCTTTAAATTCCAAAATAGAGCTGCATAGCTAGAAAAAAAGCTGTGGGACCTTCTTCTGACTAGCTCAGTTTCACCGTAAAGTTTATGGGGAATTAGGTTGCAGTACAGCATTTCTGAATCATCAACATTTTTTCCTTGTTCAACATTTAGAGAAGATAAAGGTTTTTTGCCGGGATGGAATTATATTAGTAAATCAGTTTTTCCCATCCTTTCCTCTTTAGCCTACTGGATAGTCTATCAGTTCCTATTACTTGACGTAAACTGGATTTCTACATTTCAATTTAAGTCAGGCAGCTGAGCAAGACATATCCATCAAGCCCTTTGTCCATATGAAGGATAATGAACATGTACACGGTACGTCTCAGTTTTTTCTTACTGAACATCAAAATAGCATCCTTAAATTCTATTAATGATCTTCTCCAACGGCTCTGGATGCTGCACAAAGCAGTTACACTACTCGCTACCCCAGTGCAACCTCTCCTAAGCAGTGTGTAGAGAAGAGGAGGAATAAAGTACCAAGCTGAAGCCCAGGGGGGAGGTCACGAAGCAAAATACCCTGATCTGTTCTGACCTTTCCAGAAGGCGTTCAAATGAATTACCCCAACAAAAACAGCCGAGGGATTAAAAGATATTCATATCATGTAAAACCACAATTTCTTTTGGTTCTATAGTTTTAACGACAAAGGACGAGGTGTGTTCTAGAGCAAGCTGCATACAGCAAAAGACAAATTATTTTTTTGTGCCCCGGACCTGTACCGACCAAAAGTAGTCGGGACCTCTGCTTTAGATATTTTCTAGGGACAAGGGACCACCCCTCCCACAGTACAGGGTCCTCTAATGCCAGATTGAAGTACCCCATCTGATGAATTGGTGGAAAGAGCACTTCAAAGGCGTAAAACATCATCTAGCAATGCTTGGTCACCCTTCCTTTTTGATTTCTGACTGACATGGACCCCTTTATCTTGTGAGAATGAACTGACATGCAGCGTTACACAAGAACAGCACCGAAAAATTCATGAACAGAGTGCTTGTAAGAGCACCGGAAAGCAGTGCTTCAAATCAGTACGGCATCTCACCTGGATAAAGTCTGGAAAGCGTTTTTTGCAGGTAGGGCAGGTGAAATAGCCATCATTGACATGGATGGCCACATGATCTTTAAGCAGATCCAAGCGGTCAAAGGACTCAGGACAGAAAATGCAGGAGTATGTTTTCTGGTCCATGTGGAACTTCATGTGGCTCTCGAGAGCACCGCTGTTGATGAAGCCCTTGTTGCAGATGTCACAGGTCAAAGGGCAGTTCCCTTCCCGTCCGTGAAACCGCAAATGCTGATCCAGTTTGTCCTTTTCACGGAAGGCCTTCCCACACTGGAGGCATTTGAACGGGCGAAAGGATTTCCGTATGAATAGGTGCTGAAGAGCTGCATTCTGAAAGAAACATCCAAGAGACCGCTAGCTTTTATTATTATATATATAGATTCCACACCCAAATATTTTCAAGATTAAATACACTGGATGATCAGTGAACCTGAACATCAAATAAATGCTTTTGCGTTATAGATACTGTCTTCATTTTACAGATGGGGAGGCTGTGACAGGCAGAAGTTAAGGGATCTACCTGCAGTTACACACTGAGTTAGGAGAACACAGTGCAGGAGTTTCCTCCCCAGTCCCTGTTTTCTGCTGATGGAGCTAATTTTGTCTTTAGCACGGCATTTTTCTGTAAAATAAAACTAAGTCTGCTCTGAAGTACAGATCAGGGCCTGAGAAAAGCTGCAACTGCAGCTGATTTTTGGGGATCGAGTCAAAAGTTCAGCCACCATACAAAGGAAGGGCAAGCTAGTGCCCTGTCTTCCATGCAGGAGCAGGCCTTATGAAATTCCACAGCCCTTTACAAAATCAGCTTCTGCACCAAAGATCACCACAGAGATGTGCAGTAGTGGTTTAGCATCGCCTGGAAAACCTCTAGTGGAATGTACATTCAACCTTGTTGTTATTATCAAAAGGAAGAATAGAGTTTCAAAACATTACAGCAGGGGCAGAACGGCAGTTTACAAGCAACAGGTAAGAACTTGTGAGCGCTTGGCCTATCTTTGCCATTTAGCATACATCATATGCAAGAGCCTGAAGCTGAAGAAGAAAGATGAAAGGCAAACACACTGGTGCCAAATGAGGAGAAACTCTGATAGATTCTGCTCTCTACTCAAAGGGCAGTTGATTATACAGAGTCAAACTTGAAATGGCATTTCTTGGTATTGCAAAAACGACTGAATTAAACATAGAGTGGGTTGTGCAAACCGATTCTAAAATTTAAAACACTGGGCTGCTCTTCTGTTTTTCTCCACTCCTCCTGTGCACAGTTTCTCTTATCAGTCCCTGCTTTGTTTTGGTGCGTGCTTTTCTTCAGTCTACCTTTTCTGTAACGCTTCACGATAGTTATATCCCTTCCTTCCCCGTCAGATAAATGTTATAGAGCCATCCCAGTCCCGACACCAGTGCTGCCTGCTGGAGGAACAGATGCTGCTGGACACATTGCCTGTAGAAATAGCCAAGCGTGCCCTGCGCCTGCATTTCAATATTGGATGCGAACTTTTATGCTGGATAGTTGCAAAGCTGGAAGTCAGCCACACCTCTGTGTGCATCAAATCCCACAGCACGCTACCACCCATACTGTACTGAAAGTACACTGCAATATTGCCATTTCTCTGCAAGAAGTCTAAAGGAATATTCACTCCTCCCCAACGTACGATCAACACAATCGGCACTTATTCATGCCTTCTCTTTTCAGATGTCACACGCAGACTCCACAACACAATAGTGAGAGAAAAAGCGCTAGATCATTGCCAGCACCTATGCTCACATATGTTCAATATGACCTACACTCAAGACTTCTGCAAACAGATTTCCCCGGTTTCCTCTCTCCTTTTCTTGTGGGAAGGCTGACATTTGCCGTGTCCCTTAAGCGTGTGCCAACAGCTGACACTGAGAAAGTAAAGTTAGGAGCTTTTCTGTTGGAATGAGGGAACAGCTTGGGAATATTGTGAAACGCTGTGCTTGAGTCTAAGTTGGTGAACCCAAACGATCCTTTTCACCATCTGAACTGCAGAGGGAAACCTATACTTTCATTCCAGGAAAAGGAACACGAGAGCAACTGTTTTGCTATAAAAAAAGCTACCAGTTTCATACAGGAGCCTTGACTGAGCCCTCCCATGAATTGTCGTCATCTCCATTCTCCATTTTACAAGCGGAGAAGTGGGGACAATGGGAAATACAGGGATCTGCTGTAAGTGACACCATGTAAAAATCAACACGTCGCTTGGAGTCAGAGGTACAGAATTTTCCCCTTAACTACAGGGATATGCCAATAACCCAAATAAACAAAGAGATGCACTCCAAGGTCTTAACCCCACTACTACTCTACTTTGCTATTTGTAACCCCCAACAATCTGACTGGTAAGAGAGGAGGCCAGACCTCTATGCCATTTAAATCAGCATTAGCCCCATTACTATCTCAAAGGCTACAGAAGGGTGAAGCTTTTTACTGCTCTTTGGTTAGATAAACTATCAACTATAAAAACAGAAAAAAAGGACTAAGTGTTGTCTCATTAACTGATAACATGGATCCAGCGCAAACCCTCGCGTAAACAAATCCTCCAAAACTTTAAGATGGATATTATAGTATTTCATCCAAGCAGTTTTCTCCTATAATATTCACCTTAAATTTACAATTAATTAGTATGAAAAGAACTAGAAGAATGCAAATTGTTATTCAGACAACACTTAGTTCCGGACATTGGCTGCTTAAAGAAGAACAGATGTGACAATTTACGATGTGGGGTCAATCAGAAGACACTAAACAGAAGTTGGACAAAACAACATGGAAGGCGATGCTGTTACGTACCATTCAATTAGATACAGCAAAAACCCAATAAAACAAAAAACCAAATCAAACCTACCTGCAGCTCCAGCTGAGCAGGCAGCATTGAGGGAGAGAAAAATACTTATGTTATGCAATGGACTTTAAAACAGAAGCCTTGACTTCTGCAATAGTCACGCTTCTGCAGGTCACTAGGCGGGCCAGCTCTTGTAGCTAGAGTTTACTCTTCACTTAAGCAAACTCCTTTGAGGTTTTTGCCTCAGGAAACGCTAAGCAGATCTTCAAGGTTTACCCTGCAGTTAATAACTGCCCAAGGGGAGTTAAAGTGCAAAGATAAAAACCACAGATAATCTTGAAGGTGTTTTGTGACCTTCCATGTTTTCTCAGAGTTGATTAACAATGATGTAATGGGTACTGCGGAGCCCCAATGAGAATGAAATGCTTTTAGCAGAAGGGAATAATTAGGGCAGGATGACAACAGGGCAAGGATTAGAAGAGTGAAAAAGTTAACGAGTAGGGACTTCTTTTTAACCTCATCTTACTGGTTTTACTCTTCTTTATACAACTGGTTGCATTCCTTTCAGCACGAAGGAAGCGGCTGCGCTTTCCAAATCAATATCCCTGTCCCTGCCAGTTGCTTCCTCTGAGTAAAGCAGTCACCTACACAAAGGACATTTTAGGATCAGGTCTGTATGAAAAAAAAAAAAAAAAGCAATTTGGAAATGGAGATGTTTCTGGGATCAGCCCAGAGACACTCTGGATGCTGCCCAGAACTGAATTAAAAACAAATATTCATTTTGGCAGTGGGCCACATGTTCCTCTAATTTGTTGTTGTTGCAAGAGTATCTTGAAGGGTGGGTGTATCTCTTTTTAATACTAAGGACATGACTGCCATATTTAAGGTCTGATCTCCAAGGAAACTCCACAGGCTCTAAAGCAGAGGCTGAAAAATGAACTAATCCTATCAGGACTTGAACCCTGGGGCACCAGAGATCAGCGTTTCCAGCTAGAATGAAAGCACTCTCAGAGCATAACTGCCTTAAACCTTGGAGAAAAAAAAAACCCAAACCTTGAATAATCTTGAAAAGTTGAAGCAATTCACAGAGGTTTTTAGTTTTGAAAATTAAATCCCACACAAGTACTAAGGAAGAACTAGAGCTACACACGTCTCCAGATCCTAATGAGGAGTCAAGACTTTCTGCCTGTTCTTTGGAAGTGAATGATGTACTACACATCTTAAAAACAAATGTTTGCTTGCTTCTCATGTTACGTACGTGTTATTATAAGAAGGTTCTGTGAATAGTTGAATCGAGTGAGTGCTCGTAGGGTGCTAGAGCTTGCTGTGCTTTTTTAGTGCTTAAAAAAAAATAATGCTTGCTAAGTTTACTCTTATCTGAAGTTCTCATTACTCAGTCTGATGCAATATGGAAAGGTCCTGTGTAACCATCCATCTGCCATTCTGCCAGTGCCCCGTCTTGAAACATCTCCAGGACTCCACTGAACACGAGCTGCCAGATGTATGGGACATTAGGGAGGTTCAGCAATACAAACATGTCACCAAGGATTAAACCACCACTGCACTCCTCTTAGTTGGCATCCATTTATGATGAATTTCCAGGGAACAAGAGCTAAGTCACAAGGCAAAGAAGTAACTTCAGAATTTTTATCCCTTTCTTCCCACATTTACTGTTTAAGAAGATCTTAAGTTCACATCTTGGGTTCAAAAGTTCAGGAAAACAGGCAATGCTTTCTCTTCCCATTACACCCAGGCCTCGACTTCGTCCTTGAGGAAGTCATGGCATATCACAAGCAGTAAAAACCCATGTTCTTTACTGTCAAAACTCTCCACCTGCCTTCATACTCTGCTATCCATCCTTCAATACATTCAGTAAAAATGCCCCAACCTTTTAATAACATGAAAATCAAATTATTGGTAGAAACTTGCCATTCAGAGAGTGCAAGCATTTTACATGGTTAAAGATTCTGCAAGTCTTAATGTGCCCAAGCCAGATTCTTCCTTCAAGATACACTGCTGCATTTATGGGGTAACACCACCACTGGTCTCACATATACATTGCTATAAACTGAGAGCAAAATTTGGCTCAACATCTTCCTATGCAGAAGAGTCACTCAACTCTTTTCTAATCCTTTCTCATCCCCTAAAAATGAAGTCTTACTCCAATTGCAGCTGTTCCTTTCTGTAATCAAAATTTTACCCATGGAAGAAAAAGGAAAAGATTTTAGGCTAAACAAACCAATCTCACCGTGACATGGCTTGAAGGATTATTTGCTTGAATCATTTCCCTCCCACACACAGTAGAGAAAAAACAGCTCACCCAGCTGACACAAAGCTCAGGCTCAAAGTGTTTGCTGTCGGTACACAAAGCTCTTAGGACAGGTTTTAATCTCAAAGACAGGCAGGTTTTTCTACCCCAAGAAAGGATGTTATCACTAAATATCATTATCATCAACAACTAAGTGGATCTAAACTGAGGCTGTGGTTCCTTTTTGGCAACTATTTGCAAGACTAGAGTTCAGAGAGACACAGATGGTGCTGTGAACAAGTCATTACTCTGTGCCACAGTACCATGATTCAGCCGGCTGTCTGAAGCACTCCTGCTTGCCAGCTTGGAGGGACTGTGTTTCTATGAAAGAATTACTGTGCTGGAATTGAATCAGCTCCAATTGCTGACCAGTTCTCACTAGCATCTCATGAGATACTAGTTCTTTACATGAGGTTTGTCTTCCTCCCAGTGCAAAGGAAATTGCTAGGGATGAGATGCTTTTTTCTGGATTTGGAAATGGATACGACAGTGAGAGAGAGAGACCAGCTGGTCCTGGCAGGCAGGTCCAGCATTCTCTGGGTTACAGCAAATGGAGAGGGCGAGATAAGATGTGAGCCACCGTCCTCTTTGCTTACCCTGATACGCTTCGCTCGCCTCATGTCATCTGCTGTCATGGTGCTCTGCGTAGGCACCGTGCTCTCATCGTGCTGTGGCTGGATTTGTAGCGGGTGGTTTTCCGACTGCTGCTCCAGTGCCGACTGTGTCTCTGATGGCACTGGAGTCTGTTCCTGCTGCTCCAACCCATTCAGTGTGGCTTGTCCGGCCTCATCAAACTGCCCCTTGCTGGAAAAATGCAGCAAGTCCTGAAATCGCAAATCATACAGCCAGTGATTATTCCCCCCACCCACTGAAAAATGCTTTGATAATACTCAGCAGACAACAAGATTTCTACATATTTAAATCACAAGCTATAAACAAAATGCGTCTACACTAACACTTTCCTACTCTTGTTCCATTGATGCTCTCGGCAGACCACCTCCAGCAACAAGACTCAGAGTGCTAGGGAAGAAGTGCTGCAGGTAGGCAACTCTCTTGGCCATCGTATCGTCTTACCAGACACCATCAATCAAAACAACCTGGCTTTTAATAGCCAAGCAAGTTCTTCGCTCGTGAGCCTATCACTGCTTTAACCAAAGATGACCTAGGCTGACCTGTGAGAAATCAAGAGCCAAGTGACTAGCACAGACCAAGGAAAGCAGATAATTTCTGTCTCGTTGAAATTGTTGGCGCTTTGAAACATTATCATGTATTAGTTATGCAGTGCCTTCTCCTTTCTAACAAACTAGCTGGAGTGCTGAACTGGAGAGTGACAAACGAGATCATTATACTGTGCACTGTGGGTTTTGCTATCTAGTTTCCAAGCTCTGCATACTCTCATCTACCCAGCTGCATACATCACTTATATTTATCACACAAAGCTGTTTTTCTCTTTTTTTACATTAGCATAAAAGAACAGGGAGTGTGTTCAGAGCAGGAAGCACATATCAGAAGTAATCTACATTCTCTCCATATTAATTCCAATAACTCTTCTGGGATGGAATCCTCTCATATTCAGAGAAAAAAAAATATATAGATCCTTGACATGGCTTAATGCCAAGAAGGAAACTAAAAAGCACAAGCTAGGAAACAGAGCAGCAATAGTATATCAGCTCAAGGCTGGTACTGTCAAAGCACAAAAGCAGGTGTGGGAAAGGAAAAACAGGGAGGTGCCAGAAGGAGCACAGCTACTATAAACTGCGAATGCTTACCCAAGGGAGACACTTAGTAGAGCAATGTACCAGCCAAGTGTCCAGTCCTGGCCTCGGTGGCAAGTTTCCACACTTGCTGACACTAAACTGTGCTCACAGTGTCCTGAGTCTCAAGTTCTCAGGAAGATAAACTCGTGCCTAGTCATTAGCGAGGCAGGCAGACCTCCAAAGGCCTGGGACACAACCCTGGCCCTGCTCGACTGTACTGATGCACGTGAGCTAGCGCTGGGCTGCGCTCCAAGCCGTGAGCCACCTCCAGTCCAGGGGCCATTCAGACACACTAGCATGGGACTGCGCCCAGTAAGCCCCATTTCTCTGGAGTTAAGAGTTTGGGAACAGCATTATGCTTACTTGTCTAAAGGCAGCTGGCTTGGGTCACGTCAGCTCGCAGAGTGATCTCGCAACCGTCTGGACTTAATGCAACATTTAGGGTAATTCTGCATGCTCAGAAAACGAGCGGCAGGCATTCAGAGCCAACATACACGTTCCTCCCTCTGAGTCAGCACTGAACCATGACCCAGTGAGATGCCAGAGGAAAATTACCACGCCAGATACCAGCTTTCAGCTAAGTCCTAAAACAGGGCCACTGATCCCTTGTGACACCTTTCATAAAAGGACTCGGTGGTAACCTAGGCACGGTCAGCATCAGAGAGAATTTAGCCTTTTACTTGGGTAAATAAATGCATCACTTTAGGTCCCTACAGAACATAACCAACAGCCACAAGCAAATGAACATTTTGCAATAAGAATGCCTACAGGAGGTCCTTTTGTTTTACTATTAAAACATCATAAAGACTCCTAGCTCAAACAGATTTAATTCTACCAACAACAGTTGTAAGAGCAGACTCTGACCTCACGTTCCAGAAAGGACAAATACAAACCTAAATTCTCATTACAGTTTTACTGTCTAAATTACTTTTGTGATGCTGCTAAACTGCTGCAATAACCTATCCCACTGCTAAGTGCTTTGAGATGAAAGTTGCTGTAGAAATGCAAGTGATGTTACAATTTTTCTAGGAGGAAAGTAGTGTGCTCCCCTGGCAGAGAATCACAGCTAGAAAACCAAGAATTACTTGGGTGTAAATCCAAAGCACACCCTCAATTTGCACTGATGCCCCAAATTCTTTCGGTCAAGAGTTTACATCCCACATAGTGTTTATTTTTCCCCCTCCTCCCCATCCCACAAAATATACCTGCGTCCCTTCTTCACACTTTTCCCCATTTTCACTGGTTACTTCCATACGCATGAATTTGGGAGGGCGCCCTGGGCGTCTGCCTGGTCCAAACCTCCTCTTTCCTCGCCCACGACCTCGGCCTCTGGCTCTGCAGAATACATAGTGCCCCAGGTTAGAGACAAAAAAAGGTAGATTTGGAATCTCCACTGATTTTATGCATTCTTCCTCAGCATCAATATTCACCCATTCAACTCTGTAGCCACGGCCTGCAGTAAATAATAAAACCTGAAGAAATTCTGGCAGCAAAGAAACAGGGTACTGGCTGGTATCTATTTATTTCGTGCTCTGTGAGAAATCAAAGTCCAGAACGCATTAAAATTTATTTCCCTAATCGTGGGACTGAGAGGACTACTGGCTGCTAGTGAGTCCTCTGCCATGGCAACTCTCCTACTTCCAAAACCCCCGTGTACAGTGTGCTGGAAAGCATTTTCAGCTAGATGGAACAAGCGTACAAGGTAACAAATTTAAAACCTGAAGCCATAACATCCTTCCCCAAAAAGGGCACTTAGCCATTGATGGCAGGCAGTAAACTGAAGGGAACAATTTTCTGTGTTAAAATAAAGAAAAAAAATGCAGCCACTTGCTAAGTTTCAGGAAAAAGGTGGCACCAATGCCTTCTGCTCTCTGATGGATGCTTGTAGGTTCAGCTTTTAGTCGGTCAGGATAAACTCTCTTGCCAGCCCAGTGAAGAGCCAAAACACTAGAAGTCTTGTTCTCCAAGCTTTGTATCTGCATACATCTGAGAAGTATCAAGTATTTCAGTAATACGGTACTGAAATATCGAATATATTTTCAAGTCATTGGCAAAAAACCAAAAGCAAACCAAATACACATCACCGGTTTCAATTGGGTATTTATTTCCCTCAAGCTACTACTTCCACAAAGTCTCTTACACCAATCAGCTTCCTGGTACTGTACTCTTACCTGCTGCTGCTGCTGAGCCCTTCTCTCATGGGTACCCAAGTTGGTCAGTAAGATCTGCAGGGCAAAGACCCTCCTTTCTGCAAGTTTGGGGAAGAACCATAGCGACAGACAAAGCTAAAGCTTTCAGTACCTGCTGAAGAAGTCCAGCTTCTCATCATGGGAGTTGAGGTGCTGCTGGAGCTGCTCTGAGCTCATGAAACGCCGATTGCACTCGTAACACGGCCAGTTCTTCTCTTGCTCTCTGAGAACTATGTTCAATTGGAAATGTCAATAACAGCATTTCAGTCACCACCAATTAAATGCCTCATTTTTTTTTTTTCCCCAAGCCTTTCTGTCCTCTGTGGGCTGTATTTTTCCCCTGAAGGTTAGACAGACTGCGGAATACCCCACACCACTCCGTTTAGATTTGCTTTTATCCCCTCTGCACTATGGTATGACTACAGCTCATCGCATAAAGACAAAAAGGTCACTGGGGACAATTCACATAGACTATATATGCTGCTTGAAACCCAGGGAGATTTTTGAAATATACCCTTGTACAGAAGAGCACCTACAGGATTGTGTCTCTGGCATAAATTAAGGGAGGTCAAGAGAAATTTCTCAATCTAAAGCAGTAGCACATCGGTTTATGACACAGACTCAGCATTAGACATCAGGTATAAAAATCATACCTCTTTCCAGCAGCAACCTAATGCTTCCCAGAAACTGAGGCAGAATGTGAAGTTATTGTAATATTAGCATGAGAAGACTTAGCAGAAATAAGCCCCAATAATACAGTCTAGATTTGGGTTAACTTTTCTTAACCTAGCCGAAATTTGGGAGCGCTGTACAGGCCATATGCTTGCAACTAAGTAGTACGACACCCAGCCACCACCACACTGCAAAGACTGAGAGCGGGAGAGCCCAATTTACCCTTCCTTTCCTCCTCAGATATGTCATGGATCTTCTGATTCACAAACTCTGCATAAGAGGCAGCGTACCACACCTGCAGCGGGGATACAAGGTAACAGAATACTTCCTTAGATGGAACCAGAACTAAGGGGAATTCATTTGAAAATGGTTTTTAAGCAATACATTTACTTCACTTGCCTCAACCACTCTTACTGCTCCTTTCATCCTCAATAATAAAGTCTATTCAGATCAATATGCCCCCACTGAGGAATAGAAGAGCTTTGCTCAGAAAGCACATCCATTTAATTTTAACGTATAGCTTCCTAATATGAATGTTAATCTCACACATGGCTACCAGTAGCTCTAAAGGAAGTAAGATTAATCTCTTCAGACCCGACTGTATGATTGTAAAGGATGGATGTCAGCAGAGCACTGTTACTTGCTTTACCGAGAGGCATGGAAAAGTTTTTAAAATCGGGGGATTTCCCCTTTCTTTCCTGCTCTCTTTACATAGACAATAGGCAGCACCGTCCACAGGGACTCATTTAAAATGTTTCTGAACTTCTGAAGGACTGGAGCAATACAGTCCCACTTCCCAAAACCAAGAGCTGCCAGACTGCAGCATGCTGGACCCACTTTCATTACACAAGGGATTTGTAAGGGATTTCTTTTGTAGAGAGAACCACAGGAGGCAGAAAGACAAAGTTTACCAGAGCCTAAAATCAGATGCTCACATTTAGCTGAGAATTCTTGCATCACTTCTCATTTTATCTTACTGTTTGATTAAAAAGGTTCAATTTTTGGAAGAGGTTTCTTAAAGAAGGCATGAACAGACTTTCAGCATGAAAAACCCAGGCAAGTTTAAACTTTTAGTGGGCCGCAGGCATTTTCACAGCAGTGGCAAGTGGCATGTCTAGCTCCTTCAAAGACTCACGAGCAGGCACACATTGCTTTGCAGGCACCTCACTAGCTGGGCAAAGGAGAAAGCCTGGAGCTCCTGGACTACTCACCTGTCTCGCAATACAGAAGTTCTCAACTTTCACTGACTGATCCTCCTAATCCAATCTTTGAATCAAATTTATATGAATTCCCTACATCCACTTGGAAAGGAAAACCCATTACAGAGCCTAGGTAATTACCTTTCAATTATCAAACCAGTTTTACCCCAAAAGGCACTACTAACACATGAAGCAAGAAAAATGGTGCTTCTACAGGCAGGTCTGTACAGATTTAATTAAAATCTGATTTCAAATTGGTTTAAAAACTGTTGAGAAAATGATGTTTGAATACACTTGAAATGGATTAACAAGGTTTCTAGTGATTCAGCTTAAACAAATTAAAGACTGATTTCAGAGAAGCTAAAAAGAATCCTGCTCTTAAAAATCAGCAACAAGTGTGTAAGCAGGCTTTTGCCCTCTTTTAGCTAAGTGTGTTTAAAACTGTTTTTTGTGAAGCTGTTGAAATTTACATGCAAGAAAAGATTTGAAGAACACACAATTCCCTGATATCAAATTCTTTGGTTACCCCCAGTTCCCCAAAAGATGTTGAAAACCAAGGCCATCTCAGCCAGCCACGCTGCTTTGAGCTCAAAGTAATCAATACATTTTTAGAGGGAACAAAAAATAACTCACAGGGAAGTCACAACATCCTTTATCATTTTCCACATGCAAAGTTTCAAAAGTTCCAGGAAAGCCAGGTAAAGTGAGAGATCATATTCACTTAAGGCACCAGAAAACAAGTCAAGGGCACACAGGACTAACTGGAAAGGGCATCCAGAACTAAAAAGAATAAGACTGCTGCAATAAAAATTAGATTGCATCAGCAAAATATATGCAGTGTAAAGCATGACAGCGACAGACAAATCATTTTCACATACTCTTACTTTAAACTTCCTCATTTTATACCAGAACCAAAGCTCATTTAAAACCCCAAGTCAGTGGCTAACTACTTACTGGCTTCAGTGACATTTGGTTCAGGCAATCGTGCTTCATCGGGGGAAAAAAAAGCCCTAAAACTATTTACAGCAATCATTTCTGGCACTTGGAGATGCACTTATTAGGTAGCAACTCTAAGATTCGATTTCATCAGTAGACAAACAAGTCAGGAAACACGAGCAATGCCATACCTTGAGTTCCTGCTTGGGCTCCACATTTTTAATGGTTGTGTAATAAATATGGTGGCCATACTGATACGCTACCAGGTTCTGCTCCAAATGGTTTTGAGCTGGGCGCACAAACATCATCCAGTTACAGAGAGCCTCGCTAGAAAGTTCAAACCACAGGTCCTCTTGCAAGTCTCTGTCTTTTCTGTCACCCTTATCGAGAGACACCTGTAGCAAAAATTCAATTACACACGACTGTAACGGGCCTGGCAGCAGGTTCAGAAATATTTGAGTTTCTAAACAAGCTGCTGTGACCACACAACTTTTACATTAGGAAAGCAATGAAGGCATAGCTCATTTTCTCTTTGCTAACCAGGACTTGGCATGAAGAAGGGGAGAAGAATCTCTCTTCTCATCTATATCTTGTGGGGGAGAAGAGGGAAAGGCGAAGAAAAACATTTTTAATTTAAGTTACAGCATGACACAAAATAATGGCTGCAAAACATCCTCAGATGGGGAAGCTATTTTTGCATCCAGATGCTGCTTCATCCCACGTAAGAGTGAATCACGTCATTCCACATTATGCATCCTATATATCATAACACCATAACGCCAGAATATTCACCGTGATTATTGTGTCTCCCTGAATAACAGAATAGACTTCAAGCCAAAGGAATCTGGGTATTTCTGAGTTACATTCAGGGGTGGAAGTAACAAAGGAACATCTCTAGCGAAGTAACTGATTAAGGCAGAGCAACAAATTCATCATGAAAATCAAAGCTTAGGCACAAATTGATCCCTCTTTGCCTGTCGCGCGCGCACATGCACACACACACCCCCTTACCTTCAAATGGATATAGCAGTCTTTGAGTTCCGTTTGTCTAACCAGGGGTCCTTCCACAGGTCCAAACTGCGTGCGTTTTGGGATACGCCTTTTTGAGAACACACCTCCCAAAAACCTGTCTATATAGAGCACCAAGGGGAGGCTGGCTCTTGCCCTGGTCAGCACTGGCCGGTTGGGGATTGGATGCAAAGGTCCATGTTTTGGACACACAGAGGGATGTGCGTTATTACACTCTTCACACCCTACAACAGAAAGTCAGAGAGGACAACTGTCAGGCAGATGCTCACGCACCAGCTCAGAACAGACAGTCTTATCTCTCTCTAAACATCTTTGGCTCAGCTGTGGGAACATTTATTCCAATAGTCTGTCTACATTTTAAAACGTTATAGAGGGCAGCCTCCTGCAAAATGAAGAACAAAGCAGCTCAGAGACTCCACCCGAGACAGAATCTTGTCTTTTCGGCAAAGCGGCCCAATATGAATCTGCATTTCCAGGTACAGAAGGGTTTACTTATTACTGCTAATGTCTGAATGGTTTTCAACTCCATTTACTAGAGGGCTGATGGAGCAGAAAGAAAAAAGGGGAGGGCAGCTAATATACTACATACTACTTCATAAGCTTACACAAATCGTTGGGATCAAAGGGTCGAGGTGGATCTGGATCCCATTCATCCACGTCAGTGTCTTCCCCATCTTCATCCTCATCTTCATCCTCATCATCTTCCTCTTTTGTCTCCATCCTTCCCATTTGATTCTGCAGAGGTGCTAAGGGGTCAGAACCATCCACTGCCTCCATAGGAGGTAACACCTGGTTATGCACCGGTAATGATGCCTGAGGAGAGAATTCACAACACAATCAAAATTGATTCACAAGGAAGAACGCTCCTACAGAGACGAGCAATGAAGGTTCTTGCTAGTCTACCCTTTCTGCTTCCTTTGGTAATGGAAAGAAGGACAAGGGAAAGTGAAGCAACATCATAAGCGATCGCTGAGGGATGTTTCGCATCGCTGTGGCCAACAGCCTTGATCAGGACAGCTCTGTGTCACTGCCTAGCTCTACCCTGTCAAGGACTGACTTCTCCGGAGAAGAAACTGAAATCAGAGTTCTGGACCCTCACAGAAGGTCTGAAAGAAAGTCCAGGCTCTGAGCAAATTATCTAGAGCCTAAAGCTGTATTTTAACAACTTCTGTACAAGCGAGAGAATCCTGCACTTTGGCATGTGATCCTTTCTCACCTAGCATACAACCAAACAAAAACAATCCCCAGAGCACACATGTAGAGATCAATAAGGGATGAGACAACACAGGGACTAGATATAAGCTATGGGGCATGGAAGACAGTCGAGGGCATTCTATTCTCACTAA